CGTGAAACTAGCCGGGCGTAATGACGAGTATAAATGCACTCGGCGCGGGCGCAGCATCGGCGCCACCGAGAAATTAATGGCGTTAAGATTACCATGGTAATTAAAATCTGTCAGCCGCGACACCGAGGAAGCAGCCTCTGGGAAACGCTGGCTTTGATATCCATCACTGAGCGTGGCTTCCGGCCGCGTGGCGTCGGCACCCCAGTACTCGAGCGCAGGACCAATTTGGTCCGGGCGCCCTGGGGACGCGGCCTCGGGCCTGGGCCTCGTCCGGAGCCCGGCCGTTGGAGAGCGAGCCCGCCGCCACCGGCGCGGGACTCTCGACAGTGGGTTCCAGATCAGATCAGATCAGATAGGGGGTGGCGGCGGCCTGGCCCGACCCTCAGCGCCGGTGCAGGTGAAGAACGGTGCATTAGCGTTGCCAGATGTTTGCGTTTCGGCACCGCTGGTGTCAAGGCTAAGGGCGAACTCTGAAGAAGACTGGTGGTGCGGCGCCGGCCTTCTTGGAGGGGGGGGGGGGGGGACGGTCAACGTGGTCTTATCAACAACGGTATGATATAAAACCAAAAGAAGAATATTATGATGAAGAACATAAAAAAATATAATCTTCAACATCCCCGGACACAGCATCAACAAAGAAAATACGTCATTCTCAACATGAAATAGCATGCCGTAGGATCCATCAAGATAAAAGAAAATCCCTGTCACATCCGTAATCCCTAGATGAGTAGACCACAAAGGCAGGCAGACAAATGGCAAGTACAGCCCACCACTGAGGCACTACTATCGTCCGTGGTTCCATTATAATACCAACCCCAACGCAACCCAAACCGGTTTTGCTCGCGTCGAAAATGGGGTCAACAAATTGTTTGCAGCTCTCCTTTCTCCTGATGCGACCTTAAGGTCCCGGAAGGGCAACAGCCACGCAATGTCCCTGAAAACGTGCTTTTTAGTCCTTTCGTTTGAAAATGGTGCCAGTCAGTCCCGTGGCCTCACCACATTAGCACCTGCGCGGCTTTCTTTGATCGTGCATTGCTGGTATGACGCATACACAGGTGAGCTATGTCTGCAGCGTGGCGGTATGGTATTATCGATCCGAAGATCATACCGCTCATGCTGCATGCGAACATGACGTCACAGACATGCCGACGGTGTTTCTAAGGCGGCCACCGAGCGAATGTGGAGAATCACCGTCTGGAAGCTGTGCTGCGTATCACACCGTCTTCGTTCTGCCCCCCACCCTACACACACACACGCGCGCGCGCTGACCTGATTCCCTCGGAGCACGCTCGCAGGGAGGCTGCGAGCAAAGAATCGCTGCTGGCAAATCCCCCGGTGCACCGTTACCTGACCACAGCAGATGACGTCACAGGAGGGGTGATGTCACGGAGCCGTCATCGGCGCCGTTTTTGTCGCCGGTGAGCCGTAATAGGCGCGACGGTCCGGACCCGGCGCCGGATTACGACGGTGCGTAGGACGCCGGGGCTCGCCGCGAAGTAACACAGTTGGCAATCCTCTTACGGTGGCTTTCGCTGCCGCTTTGAGCCGTGCTTCCCGCGAAAGCCGAAACGCTTCGTCAAAGTGACAACGGTCTAAATGCAGTGCTCGCCATTAGTCATGCAGTCTATCTATTATTCTGCGGCTTTCGTCCATAAAATGCCACGGCTTTGCAAAACCGCATCTGCAGGCCAAGGAGACCAAACCGCAAGCCTTACTCTGCTGAAGTGTGCAGGCGGGTGAACACTTGAGCGGTGCAAGCTGGAATAATGCTCAGTGTTTTCAGGGGCCCGCAGGTGTCACTCTGATGGTTTTAATGGGCAAGCACCTGTATGAAATCTTTGTAAACTGGAATAGCAGAATGAGGCCATCAGCGGAAAATTTATGGTGTGGAAAAAATAAACACGACTCTTCCGTTCAGGTGTAAAAATTACATGAAGCAGCTGCCATTGTACAAATGTAACGAGCTGCACTTTACGACACTTGGACATGACAAGATGACCTGACTCAGACGCATTCGACCGCGAGCAAAACGGTGAACATCATCACGTCCCAGCGAAATGGGGCCGACCATGAAGGGAATTCCTACAAGGGTTCTGCCGACGGGCGCCCGGGGACGATTCGTAGCAGCCACAAGCTCTGTTTGAGTTGTTTGGTCTGAGGCAGACCCCTCGCCGGTAGTCCTTGCAATTACATGACTTGCAGTAGGCGTTTCTCCTAACCACTCAATGGTTAGTGATTCATTAATGAGGCTCCCGACCACAACATCATCAATTGCACGCACTTAACGGGGGTCCTATGCATGACGGGTAACAAAAAGGCGTTGCAGTCGTCTCGCTTGTGTTCGCTCGCCACCGAGGCAAAAACAGCTTGCGTTCCATGGCTGGTGAGTACGTGGAGCACCGGCCCCCTGTCAAAGCTCGGTCACCAGTCGCTGGGGACAGGCGGGGATACTAACCTTGCAGCTCATGCAAGCAGGGACGTTGACACCCCCTCAGAGGCCATTCAGTCTGCTTTCTGTCGCAAAGTTCGTTTCCAGTAGGCGGGCCCGACCCTCCGAAGCTCCGGCCCGTCCCCGGTTCGCGTCCGCCGGTGCGCGGCCCGCCACGCGCAGCGTTCGCGGCCGCCTTCCTCGAGCGCGTGCCCGCCCGGCGCCCGCTCCTTCCGTGGGGGCGGCCGGTGGGCGGGGGAGGGGGAGGGGTCGGCAGGTGGAATACAAACGGTCGGCGAGCGGGCCGTCATCCGGCCAAGCTCAGCGCCGCCGGATGCAGGTGCGCCACCAATGCAGCGATTGCATTGGTCACGGCGCGCCCCGAGGGTCGGACGGCGGCGCGTTGCAAGCGCCGCTGGCGGAAGAGGCGGGACCGGCGGACCGATGGCGCGATCGGAGGGACCAGTGGCAGGACCGGAGGGACCGGCGGGCCGATGGCGCGATCAGAGGGACCAATGGCAGAACCGGAGGGACCGGCGGACCGATGGCGCGATCGGAGGGACCAGTGGCAGGACCGGAGGGACCGGCGGACCGATGGCGCGATCGGAGGGACCAGTGGCAAGACCGGAGGGAGCAGCGGTGTGATCGGAGAGACCAGGACGGAACAAACGGGGAGGGACCGAAGGGACCGGTGGTAGGACAGAAGAGACCAGGGTGGGATCGAAGAGACCGCCGGTTCCCGGGGTGGGACCGGCGAGGGGACCGGAGGGACCAGCGGTGAAATCAGAAGAGACCAGCAGCAAGGCCGAACAGATCACCGACAGGACCGGATGTGGACCAGCAAGAAGGCAAGCGTTGGACCGCTGGCGGACCGGTGGCAAGACTAGTGGCGCACCACCCGTGCACCAACGGTGGACCGCTGGCGGACCGGTGACAAGACCAGCGGTGCACCACCCGTGCACCAACGGTGGACCGCTGGTGGACCGGTGGCAAGACTGGCGGTGCACCACCCGTGCACCAACGGTCGACCGGAGTGCCCCGCGGCGTCATCCCGCCGGCGCGCTGGCCGCAGCCTGATGTTTCCAGGCCGGTTATCGAGTGAGCTGTCGGAAAAAGTCCACTCACAGCCCGCTGACGGGACCGGGCTGATGGCAGGAAGCTCGCAGCACGCTAACAGCCTATTGCATCGCTCTGGCGCCGACCTATTTCTGGGGCAGGTCGATCGAAAGTTGGTGGCGTCAGTCTACTCGTGTTCGGACATGATTTGGGTCAGTTTTTGCGGAGAGCACCGTCACTTGACAGCTGGCGGGAAGGCGCGCTGCCGGGAGGTCGCCGGAGTTTCTTTCACTCGGATGGCTATGTAGGGCTATTTTTACCTGGCAGTTTTTGTGATGTTTTTGCGCCAGCGTTGCTGAGCAGCATCCCGTGACGGTTTTGGAGCCATGAGCAAAAAATGACGACAAAAAGCGCAAAGCGCGGCACAGTACCGACGGCTCTGGGTGGCAATCGTCCCCGTCATGTGCACCGATATTTCACGGGGTTTCGGCGGCGATCCTCCTCCAGTCACCGTTCGGCGGTGACTTCGAACGACCGAGAAGCAGGAAAGACACCCCCACCGGCGGCCGGGAATGAACTAGTCCGGCCACGCAGCCTCTGCGCCGCGTGCCGGCCACAACAACCCACGCAGCTGAACCAGTCGTTTTGGCGACGCCGAGTCTCAACCGCACTGCAAAAAGCGCGGCGTCCTTCGCGGTGATGGCACTGCCGTGATGTCTCCACAGCGCTACCGCGCCGACGCGGCCCGACGCGCCGGCCCGGGCCGGGCCGGCCGTGCCGCGGCACCAAACAGGTCTGGGCCGGCGGCGACGCCTGCGAAAGTGGCTGGGGCAGGCCGCGACAGGAGTAGACTTGTCTGCTGTTTGCCGTCCGGTGCGCGGGTGCGCTGCGCACACGCGGCACGGCGGTGCCCTCGGGCGGCGTTTGCCCCCGTCCCGCGCGAGATTATCCTGTCGGAGAGTGGATCCGAGGATAAGATAACGTAAGGCAAGGTAAGGGTGCCGCTGTATAGTTCGCGCCGTAACGCGTGTAGCACAAAGGTAGCACTGTTGGCGGTTAGCGATGGAGGCTGCAAGTCTTAACGGAAGTGCCAGTCACATGTCCAATAACACTACAAGCGGGATAGCAAGCTTACAGGTTAATGGCCTGCCGTCCAAGGTTGTGATTGATTGCTCTCCATCCCATTGCTCCCTGTTTCTGTCGTTTTACAACACGCTAAACCCACCAGGCTAATAATAGACACGTGAAGGCCGACGGCTCCTTACCGTGCCTGTGCTGTCTGACACGGCTGTCCTTGTAGTGAAACGGAAACCGCGGTTTTTCTCCTTAGAATTCTGGTATGTGCAGGCTAACCTACAGGCCAGCATGCCATAAACTTGCTATGACCGGCCCGAGCACGTTCGAAAGCGAGCGACGCGTTCTGTTTGGTGCAAAGTTGCAGCACATTAGATCACTTCGGCCTTTTTGCAGTTCGCTTGATGGCGCATGCTTCTGGCATCTTACGAGAAACAGACGCTGCATTTGCTGCTGGTGGTGTAATATATTTGTAACAAACGATACGACTCTTGAATGCACACATCATACAAAATTACAAAATCGGACTAGATACACTGTGAATCACGAATAAAACACGACTAAGCAAACTGTACAAATCTGGCAATATGTTTATCTATGTACAAGTGGAGGTATGGGATGCCATGTCTTATGTCGCTTTCTGCCTAAGACCGTGCGGTGTCCTCGGACTCTAGCCAAACCAGCCGGTGTCGTGTATGCGCGCGCGCGGGGCGGACCAGGAGCCAGAGGCCCTGACGCCGCCCTGTCGCCGCCCAGACCGGGGGGAGAGAGGCGCCTCCCTCGGTATTTACAAAGGGGAGATCAGACAGCTGACAATTCTCCGACTCGTCGCGTACAAAAACGTCCATTTACAAGCGGCCTCCGGGTCGGGGCGGGCCGGCCGGACCGGCCGGGACCTGGCGAGACCCGGGCCCCGCCGAGCCCCGGCGGACCCGGTCATTGCACGTGCGGGAACGACCGGCTCGGACAGGAGGGCCGACAGGCACAGGGGGGTACGTACGGCAGCGAGAGGACGCCGCCTCTGCCCGACAAAAATAGACTCTGCGGTGAGGATTGCTATGCGGAGGCAGAACGGTCGCCCCCGGGGCGTCACAAGCCTTGTTTTAGAAGCACCGAGCGGTGCGCGGACCGCCGTCGGCTCGCCGCCAGACCGGGGCACGCGCTGTCCGCAGCCACCACCGCGCCAGAAACTCATATCGGACGATTGCTGAATAACCAACCCATTGCAGCTCCGTGGACCGAGGCCGGCGGCGCCGGCGCTACAAAACACTATCCTTAATCCTAGGCGCGTGCTCTATGCTTCACCATGCTTGGGCGCCGCGCCGGCATCGTACAAGGCTACCAGGAAATCTACCCACTACTCCAAACATGGAATGAGCAAGCATCGCCCACACAGGTCCCTCTCAACCAGCACAACACTCGTCCGAATAAAAACAAGTTCAAAACAACTCAACTATTCAACCAATCAGCGAACTCTGCCACTGCACACAGCAACTGTGCGCCGCAAATGCCCTCCGGCACCGGGGCAGGACAAATGGTCGAGGTAGGCAGCGGCGCCTGCGGCGATTCTCGGGAAGGCTGGGTCACCGAACGCCGCCGGGAGAACGCGCCGCCGACCAGCCAATGACGGACGCCGGCGGGACATCTGTGAGTCGCGCGGGCGGCGTCCGCCGAGCGACCGCAAGCCTTTCGTCTCGAGCGAACCTCAGCGACAGACCAGCGCCGCCTAGTCCGACTCAGCCAGGAGGTGAATGGGGCGTTCCCCGTGTGCGCGCGTCGCCACCTGCCTCCAAACTGAGATCAGTTGGAAAATAAATATACCGGGCTGCTCCGCCCTCGTCCACCTGTAAAGTTCTCGCTGTTGCGACCCTCGGACGCCGCCTAAGACTAGTGTGAATACATGGCAGGGCGCGTCAGTCGCGCTCGCCGCACCCGCGCCGCGCTCGCCGCAGCCGCGCCACCCTCGCCGCAGCCGCGCCGCCCGCCGCTGAGTATTCCGCCCTCGGCCGTGCGCCACCGTTTTGATTCAGAAAAATACGGCACATCGCGTCGGCGGAGGCGACGGGTGCGTCGGCCGCCGCTATGTACATGAGCGCGGGCGTCATCATTGCACGGAGGAGCCGGAGCGGGTCGCGCCGGCCTCAGCCCGCGCGCCGCCCGCCACAGCCAGCCAGTCCGTATGTACACACGTGCGCGCGTTTGTACGGGGTGCGGGCGCCGGCGCGGCGCCTACAGCTGCAGCCGCAGGTCGTCCAGGTCGTCGCACGTGAGCCCCAGCGTCGGGAACATGGTGAGCGGGTTGAGGATGGCGCTCTCGCCCAGGGCGGTGACCTCGATGTCGCGCAGGTCGGCGTCGATCTCCGACTCGGGCTCTGGCGAGAATCCGTGCAGCGGGTCGTCCTGCGCCAGGCCCAGCTCGTAGGGCAGCTCCGACTCGTAGCCGCTGCTGGAGCCGATGGAGACGGGGCTGTACGGCGTGTGCAGCACGCTGGCCGGGCTGGCCAGGCCGCCGCAGTGCACCGGAGAGTGGCCGCAGCACGACGACAGCGGGCTGTCGGGCGCCGCGCTCGCCGGCGCCGGGCTCGCCACGCTCTGCAGCAGCTGCTGGCTGCGACTCTTGGCGGCGGCGCGACGCGGCGCGCTCTTCTTGGGCGCCGCGGCGCGCGCCGGCTCTTTGGGGGCGCCCTTCTTGCGCGGCCGGTACTTGTAGTCGGGGTACTCGAGCCGGTGCAGCTCGACCAGCGTCTTGGCGCCCTGAGTGAACGGGTCCTTTTCCTCCCGACTGAGGTCCTGCCACAGCTTGCCCAGCGCCTTGGAGATCTCCGAATGGTTGCAGTTGAAGTTAGTGGTGATGTGCTCGCGCTGGATCTTGGCGAACAGCATGAAGGCGTTCAAAGGACGCTTGGTGTGCTCCGGGTTCCGGCGGTCCTTTTTGATCTGGAAGGAGAACAGACTAGTGTCAGGCATGCGACGTCAGACGTGCCCGTGCGACCCTTGTTGAAGATCACAACACGTTGAGAACCTTGACGCAAACCGAGCGTTACGGCGACCTTCACTTAGCCCTCCACGGAAATTGCCCTCAGGCATGCATACAGATATTCACTTCATGGTAACTCCACCGGCCGACATCCATCAAATCCTCTCGCCGGCTGAACGTGGACCTGACGTCTGAGCCGCCGGGGACCGTAAACAGTGCCGTCCGAAATTGACTCGTGGCTCGGTCCAGCGCAGCGTGCTGCAGTCAAAACCAAGTACATATCAGGTTTCCGGCCGTCGGCCACCGCTGACCTTCGCCCGGTCCGTTGTCTTGCACGCAATGGTTGCCCCCGATCATATCAAAGCCGAAGCGTGCACCGCCCGTGTTTGATTTTGCGGCTCGGCTCAACGGAGGGAGGGCGCTGTGGTCGACGATCTGATACAATAACATCCTGGCGCGCCCGGCCAACAGGCAATCGACGGCCGCCCATGATCGTGGCTCCGGCGGCTCGTGGCTTCACGTGCCCGCCGGCGCTGATCGGAGCCCATGTTTGTGACCCCGTGGTATCCCAAGTCCGATAACTGTGGCATTGGCACATCCCAGTTTGGTGTTGCGCGTTTTCAAATGCAAACATCAATACAAATGACGGTGAAATTTCCGCAACCGGAATTAAATAGATACGATGGTCATGATTCATATATTTCAGATCGCTTGGCGGTCGAACATCAGCGAGTTTGCAAATTTGTCGGCAGTTGCGGAACGATCCGCATGAAACGCCGGCCATGCATGCCGCGACCATACAGTATTTCACTATCCTGTGACAAGACTATATGCATGCAATCTACCGTGGGCAACAATTCAACAACTGTAGCTCCTAAGCGGCGACTTGCATGTTTGTTCCAGTTCGGAGCCGACAGCCAGCCGGGAATAACGATCCCGTTTAACGTTGATTGATATTGGCCTTCCTTGAACCGGACGATTGCGTGACGGGGAAGTTGGCAGCGTATTAAAGCCGGCGGTACCGTTCTCCTAAGACGCGGCGAGCGGCGCAGCGCGGCGGGAATCAGCCGGTCAGCTGCGGCTCGGGGCGCCACCCGGCCGCTCACGACCGCGGGTGATCTATGTGATCGGAGGGTCACGAGCGGCGCCGCCCGGCCGGCAGGAAACGAGACAAGCTGAGCCCGCTGCTCGTCATTGGTATTCCAAACAGTCCTTCCGATGCAATCAGTCGCGGAAGATTGACTCGGAATAATAATCAGCTAAAAACTTGGTCACAAAGCTGAGCAGGTTCCGCTGGGCCGACAGACCCAAGGTCGACGGCGAGAAACTGGCCGTGGAGCCCCGGCACGACTTAGTTCCTGCAGCCGCCAACAGATGGCATAGGCTGTCCGTCCGCGCTCGGCGCTGCGTCGCTCGGCCCGACTTCAAAACACGTCGGCCGTCAGTCGGCTGAGCGGTGCCGAGCAGGAGTGTCCGCGCCGTGGGAGCTCGGCGGATGCCCCGTACGTGGCGACCCATGCATACCCACAACATGCAGTCGATTGCAGATAACACGGCTATTCGTTGAGAGCAGGACAAACGGGTCGTTTCCGGTGATTCGTCGGATGACGAAATGGCAACATCGCCCGATACATGACTGAACGCTTGGCCATGACAGACGCGGAAAGTTCGCGCCGTTTCTCAGAGCGGGCCCGGTAGCAGGTTTTACGTCAGAACACGCCAATAGAGTGCGAGTCGTGCACGAGGATCTCAAGTCATCGGGAATTCGGGAAAGCTTTCACTTCCAGCGAGTCATGAATGTCGGGCAAATATTTGCGCTAAACTGAAATTGATGGACGTTTGAAGCGCCACCTCGAATGCATCGGTTAGAGATGGAGCGCTGACGAACGCTTGGACAACTTATTCACAAAATGCCACCCCATCCAAAGACGGCATCCAGGGGTTCAGGCGCCGACGGCTACGATGACGCGGCCGCGTGCAGAAACAAAATAATGTGGAGACTGGTGACAACGCTGGTTTGGATCATTCTGCCTATGCTATATGCAACAGTCGCAGATTGGGATCTCCATAACACAAGCCCTTAATAAATGTGTTGCGAGCCTTTTGAAAGTATTCCCACGGAAATCAGAACGGCAGACACATGGGAACGATAATTTGTGAAGGTTCCAGCTCCGTGACATCCAAGGCAAAGAGCAGCTTAATTCAAAGAACAAAGTCAATCACTGATCAAGGTTAGATTCAAATTAGGCGTTGTACATTAAGATGACGTGAGCAACCGTTTCCCGGTTTAACACTTGCAATGTTTTTTCCGAAGCATGATGGGAGACTTGCTCCGACGTGGAGTCAAATTAATAAGTGAGTGCCAGGTATTTCCCTCAGTATCTAGAACTTCTAGAATCAATTCCAGCCAACGTCGACAACAAATAAAGAAGTTTAGCCCCTTCAGCTTTAAGTTGTTGACAAGAAACAACCAGACGAACAAGACTCAAACAATTTAAGATTCCACCATAAGTATCAAGTCACCACTGAATGCATGCGACAAATGCAACTACTTAACCCACGATTGACTAAACGAAAACATAAAAATGACGCCAAATTTATCTGCGATCGAGGTGATATCAAAATGCGCTCGATGTGTATTTTCATTACTGTATGCGGTAGACATCCCACTGTGATTTGCAGCATGCATATAATTTGTGATCAAAATTGGGCAGTCATTGAGGGTGAGCTCGAGTCGCTAATAACATTATATATTTTTTCCAAATCAACAGACACCAATGAAACTGAACGGCAATTATGCAGAGGGAAATGTTCAAATAATACGCGGTTTGCATATTCCATAGCGGTGTTTAAGATGCACCCTAATCCATGTTAAGTCAGCAGAACCGGATATTGCACTTCATTTCGGGAATAGAACACAAGTAATAAATGTCTATGGGAGAGCCCCGAAATTCACACTGCGGGAGCGAAGACTTGGGCTAGGGCAACACAACGAAAAAAATACTACACCAGGTGATAGAGTGCATTTTTTAGTGTTTCTGGAGAACAAATTTTCCTTCACAGCGTGCAATATTTTATGTAGTCGTACACAAGCAAAAAGTCACCACATCAGGCCCATTGCGGCCCAGCAAAACGCGCCCTCACCAAACACGACAACACCGAGTGGCTTCGCCCGAGACTTACGCTCATGATATCAGAGTACGGGTGCGTCGAGTCCCATATGTACTTGGGAAAATCCGGGTAGCGTATTTTGTATTCGGTGAGGTTGAGCGCCATGGCTCTGCACATGCGGTGCGGTCCGACGCCCGTCAGCGACCAGCTCTGCTCCCCACGGTCACAACGGCCCAACTGACGCCAGCGTCGGCCGCTCGGCGAGTCAGTATTCGGCGACCGGCGCGCCGCGCGCGGCCGACCGCCGAACTACGCTGCGCGGCTGTGCAGTGGAGCGACGGACGCCCCTGGAGTATCGTACTCTGCGCTGCTGGGGATGGGGGCGCGCGTGAGGTCTCCCGCGGGCCGACGGGGCCGTACAGAGAGGCGGGAAGGGGTGGGTCGAAAGCAGGAATGGTGACGGAGGGGTAACCAGCGTCTCGATTTAGGGTGTGGATTTGGCCTTTCCTACCTGGTTAATTGGTTAATCCCACATGGAGTTGGCGATTTTTGGCTGTGGCACACTTAAACCAATCCCTTTTTTTGACCGCGCAGATGACTTTCGTTGACGGCAGTCTAGAAACGTGGCCGAACAGAGCACAGGCGGTGCAACAGGCCCTTACAGAAACACTTAGACCCACTCTGCAAAGCAGTGTTCGCGGCACGCTATCCCCAGACATTAGGCAAACACATTTGATCGTATCTAGGCCGCCCCAGAAATCAGATTGACCCCATGTTTCACTGCAGCCATCACTTTGTCTAAGCAGGTCACGACTAAGGTCACTAGCACTGGAGCGTATTGAACTATAAACTAAAGAGCCGCCTCACGAAGCTCTCGGGCAAAAAGCGACAAAAACGGCGCATGTCGACTGGCGCCGCGCACGATTATTTGAAGAAGTGGCGCGTCAGGAAGTCGAAGACATTCCCGGCGCATCGAATCCCTAATAACCCCCGTTAGACAACAGCCGCGACTCGAAAGTTTCGAGAGGCCTCTGTGGCCCACCGACGAGGTGCCGACCTTCGCACCCGGGTCGAAGGCCTCGCGGGCGCGGAAGGAGCTTCAACGCTTCCTCCGCCGCCAATCAGCGAGCTTTTTGCTGGGCCTCAGCGCAACGGCCCCGGCCCGGCCGCCGCCTCAGGCTTGTGCGCCAAGGATGAGGCCGTACCGGTGAGCACCGGTGAGCACCTGTGAGCACCTGTGAGCACCTGTGAGCATGTGTATAAATTAGCTGTGCGAGCAGGCAGCAGCCACGCCGTTCCCACCAGAACACGGTAGCTTTCCAACAGCTATACAGCGGGCAGGGTGAGTACATTTTTAATAGCTCCTTTCCATGCAACACTGCGTGGCTAATAATCAGTAATTAAATGGACAAAAGGCAGAGGCAACGCCATATTTCGTCGTAAGCCGTGGGAAGGCAGTGCAGTTTAACGTCCACCACTGCAAACACTCCATCCGGCCTCCTTGCCGAGGCTTTCGCGTCATTTTGCCCTCGCGCCCCACCAGCGAACCAGTTGCCCGATCTTACGGAGCCTCCGACACCCAAACGCCACCGCAAACACGTGCAGTGCACGCGCTGCACGGCCGGCGGTGCACAGTTGACTTTCCGCTTCCGCGCCGCCGCCAGCCCGCGCCGCCCGCTTACGTGGCGTTGCACCACCCGCAGCGGCGACCCTCGCCGTTACCCGGGGTTGAGGTCACTCCCGCCCGCTCGCGCCGCCGCAGGGCGCGGTGCCAGGCGCCGCATCGTTGGCGGCGTCAGAGTTGTTTTCGCAGGAGGACCGTTTTCATGGAAGCGAGGTAAGCGTGCGACGCGGGGCCGATGACGTCAGAAGGAGTGGTGCGACGAAGCAGCCACTTTGGGGCCCGGGCGTCCGCAAGACGCGTAGACAAACTGCGGGGCTCTTGACGCGGTTTTCTGGCAGAGCTGCGAAATTTCGCACATTTTCAGAACCAACTGTTCTCAGAATTAGAATTTTGGCATTTGAAAAAATTCAAGATTTTCTTAAAATTAACACTTAACTTGCCAAAATGAACACGAGCTATGAACTAGATTGCGAGATCTAAACGCTTATCTAGCACTTATGATGCATGCTAATGGTGGAAGGGCCAGCGATATTCGTTAACAAAATCGCCGCACTTATCGGCGCCTAATGTTATACACTTAAATGAATTAATGGCTAGGATAACAAACATGAGGCATATTGTATCACCAGAGACAGCAGAAAAGCCAAACATTCGGTGCTGAGAAACATGCCTGAGCTGGCAGCCGGACGAAAATACCACCCACGTTCTGTTTTAGTATGCCGAGCAGAAAACTCAGATTAAACGTTTGCGGGTGGGTAACATTAAGTCAGTTCTTTTTACGTTAATGCTAATGCTGAAAAGCCTGCGGCTGGGTAGCTTTGGCTATTCTTTCTCAAAATTATGGGACATGCATTGCCACCGCATTAGATCACCTAACTGAGGAAAAAATTAGATCCGCAGACCTGAGCGTGCCTTTTCCAAGGACAGTTCCTTGCGGGGCGGCCCAGCTTTCAAATTCGGGATCCGGGCTGGGTTGGGTTTAGCACCTTCAGAAGTGGCAGCTCTATTACGCAGGCGTCAGCTGATAGACGTCCTCGTCAGCTGAGGCCGACGTCCGTCAGCTGCTGTGGCTATCTGTCAGCTGAGCGTGTTCTCAGGAGGTCACAGGGTGCAAATGCCACCCTGGGGCCGACAGACCGGCTGCCGACGCATGACGCGTATAAATAAGCCGGCCGCTCAGTTCGTTTGGCTCGAACGTCTAATCCGAGGATCCTGGATCCGCTCGTTGCACGCTGATATATAGACGCACGCACGTTTGGCAGCGACAGCTGGCGATTGCGGTGCGGCGCTGGCAGCAGCTCGGCGCACGTGCCGACCGTTCGGGGGGTGCATGGCGGGCGACCCTGATCAGGGCATCGCTCCCGCATGACGGGGCGGCCCGGCGGGGGGCGGGGGGGCGGGGTGTTGCACGGACCCGAGTGCGCAGTTTACCCGGGGCGGCAGTCCGACGGCGCCGCACCGACAGCGGCTCTCGTAATAACAGGACGTGCAATATCGGGCATCGGACCGGCCGAGCAATACGACGCCGGGCCGCGGGTGCGACGCGTCGGCGGTGGCCGCGCCGCCCCCGGCGACCGTGACACGGCTGCCGGGTCAGCAGGACACGGCCTTCGGCGGGCAGCTTGACGCGGCACGGTGGCGATAAACCGCCGCAGTGCGTCGTGCGTTGCCGACTTGGCGCTGAGCGGCATACCAGACAGCTGTCGGGTGGACCGACGGCGGACCCGCGTGCGGCGTCAGGAGCAGGCGAAGGACGACAGGGGGAGTAACGGAGCACCGGAGGAGGGGCGCCGCAGCTCTGTGGTCGGTTGCCAGCCGCACGACAGACCAAACAGCGCTGCCTTCGAGTCGCGCTGCAGCTGGCGTCCCGTTATCGCGTCGGCAGGTCCCGACACGGCCGATAAGGATACCGCGTACTGCATACGCCTCGGACGATCAAACGAAACGCGAGGGGCCGCCGGCGATCTGCGGCGCACGTCTGTCTCCGCAGCTGTGGCCGTGCACACCGCGCCGGGCCGCCGGCACACGCGCCGAGGGCGCTGCCGGTTCTGAGAACCGTTCGGCTCGTCTGCCAGCAGCATTTGACCCGGGCGGAGCCGGACCGACTGCGCAGAAGGCGTCCGCACCCGGTGACCTGCCCGCCCTCCCACCTTCCCGAGCCGACCGCGGCGGTGCGTTCGACGGGCGCTGTTCGTTCTGCGGGCCCTTCCCCGCCTCTGCCCGGGGCCGGTGGGGGGGGGGGGGGGGAGCCCCTCCGTAGGTCCGAGCGGCAGGTGCGAAGGCGAGCGGAAACTGGTCCGCCGCGCCGGCAGGTGCGGGGAAGGACACTGGCAGACCCGAGGAGCTGTGTGAGGATTATGGCGAATAAGACGGCCGCTCTACGGCCGCGAGAGAGGAGTCTTTGCCGGTGTTCTACCTGGCGGGACAGACACAAAAGGGAGTCCCCGACGTTCGGCTAACTGACAGGTCAGGTCCGCGCAGAGGGAGTCCCTTCCCAGACCCCGGTTGGCGGAGCGGGCGCAGACAGACCGTCCTTGCAGGAGGCGGATGCAGGGGAGGCGGTCCTTGCAAAGGTCCCGGCCGGCGCGGCAGGTACAAGCGGAGAGCGCTGTCTGCGCGCCGCCTGGCTCCACATCAACACGACGCGGCGCGACCCGGACATTCCTCGCCCGCCTGCGCTCGTCGACTTTTTCGACGCGCAACCTTGCAACGCTGCCAACGATAACTCGACGCTGACAGATCCATGGTGCAGCGCGCCGGCAAACAGCGTCTTTTTGCCGTAAACGAGGCCAGCGCAAATACCCGATAGATTATAAACGTGTCCAATCACGGCGCGCGCGAGGAGACTTCTTGCGCGCGTTTTTGGCCGCGCCGTTTATGCAACTCTGCTCGTCAATCGATGCGCGGGCGCGTCGGAAGGGTGTTTGGCGCGCCGGGCGCGTCACCACGCCAGAAAAGGCGGCCGAAACACATACACCGGCGAGCGGGGTGACCGGGGCACATCCCGCGGGGGCGCGGACGGCTGCAGCCCGGCCGGCAAGGCCGATCCAGAAAGTCGAACCCGATGAATGCGGATGTCCACGCGGCGTCAGTCACAAATCCCGGCCTCGTGCGCCGGGCAGGCCCGTCCGCGCGCTTAGCTGCTGGCCCGAATGGCCCCATTTAAGCGGAAGAGCTTGGGGTGTGCGTGAGTTACGTCGCAGAGATGAGGCCGTTAAATACCAGCCGGGTGGCCCAGTTTGGCCGAGTGTTTTATTGGGGAGCGCCTGCGGAGCTTTCGGAGAGGAGATCCGGCTGCTGAGTAACGTTAGCTGTGGCAATGGGCCGCCACACACAGGATCAATGCCAAGCGCGCACAGACGCATGCCGAAACTGAAAATAATAAACGGCGCATGCGCATCGCCAACGTTGGTATGAGTCCCTGTTAACATACATTCCTACTAAATTCGCGCATATCATTGCTTTCTGTTGAAATGGTAGACACGCAAACAGAGGCAGGTACAATCATAAATACCTTCGTCACACGATATTTTAAGACGTGTATGAAGCTTCCGTATGCACTGCAGCGCTGTCCCTGTCATGCGCCTTCAAACAATAGATCGC